CTGCTGGCTGTCCCAGAGAAGCTGCTCTCAAGTGCTTGGGGACCAGGCTTCCTGTGTCATCTCCTTAGCGTCGTGCATCGGCCGAGACCTCCCAGGTGCCAGCACCTGCCTTCCTGGTCAAGGCAGGTAGCGTGCACCTTAGCCCCGAGGACAGGCCGCCGAGGTCCTCCCCAGACACACAGAGCTGAGTGTGTTCGTTCGTCTCAGGCTGTGTTTTATCCCAGAAGCCCGCTGCCCCGACTCCGCCGGGACACTGGGCTTGCTTTCTAGGCCAGGCCTCACTGGTGTGGGGCATCTGGGCAGAGGCCAGCTGGAGTGCTTCCAACACCAGGAAGGCACTGGGCACCAGGCTGGGTGCAGATGAACCCCCCTTGACCACGGGGTGTGGTTCTTGCTCCCTTGGGTGGGGTACCTGGTTACTCCCAAACCCAGTACATGGCACTCATCTGGGATGTGGGGGACCCAGGGCCCTAGCGCATGGACCCGCTCCAGCGTGTACCACACTGCAAGGCCTTGATGAACGCTCCTGTAGACGGGCTGGCCAGGGACATGGCATTAAGAGGGGCCTTAAAAAGCACATGGGCCTGAGCTTTGTCGTTACGGGGGTGGGGGGGCAGTCTTAGAGGTTGTGCAAAGGTCCTGAGTCAGGAACAGGAGGGGCGTGTCTGAGCAGCAGCCAGGAGGCCCGCTGTAGTGAGAGGGGGAGGAGGGGACGCGCCAGAAGGGGCTTGTAGGCCAGGCTGAGACCGGGAAGTCAAAGCCCCTTTGATCTTTCAAAAATGTACTTGTGCTTATCTTACAGAAGTTATCCTGAGCTCCCTGCCCCCCCAAATTAGAAACCCAAATCAGAGGCTTGCCTTTGGGTCTGTCTACGCAGGGGAGCCTGTTCCCTGAATAACCCAGGTGGTCTGTGGGGCTGTTCACCAGGTCCCAAGGGGGTCCTGTTGGCTGCCTTCACCCCACAGTTAAGCCAACCCCAGGGGATGGGGAACAGCCCTATGAGACAGACAGGGTCTCTGCTGCCCTTGAACTCTAGGGCCTGGACTGGGGACCCAAGGATGATGATGAAGACTACCCAGGGTCCTTCCTCCTCCCATCCTGCCCTGCTGGCTGTGGGGACTGGTGGTGGGCATTATGGGCAGGGCGTTGAGCTGTGGGGTGAGTGGGAGGGCGTGGGGAGCTGGCCGTGTCCCTGCCTCTGGGGATACCACAGGTGGCATCTGGAGCCCCACTGATCTCTCTGGGTGGTGGGTGCCCTGAACAGTGCTGCTGTTTGGCCCCGGGGAAGCCTGGTAGGTCGGTGCCCAGGAGAAGGGGGGAGGGCTAGCTTTGCTTCTCCTTGAAAATCCCCCAGGACCCGTGGTCCCAGCCACCTCTCAGGATCATGGCTGTCACCCCAGGACTCCTGGAATTTCCCCTGGCTCTGCTTCTGGTCTGCTGTGGTGAAATCGAGGAGAGAGGTGGGGAGTCAGTGGCCGGAGTTGGGAAAGACAGGTGGGTGGACTGAGTAAGGAGACAGGAGTCAGCCCCTCCCCCTGCAGGCTCCTGGATGTCTGGGCAGGCGCTGGTGGACGGGAGCCAGGTGTGTCAGGCCGGGTGGGAGGGGCCCGTTGGCTGACCTGCAGCTCCAGGAAGCAGGGGAGGATGAGCAGAGACTGGGCCCTCCCTTTCAGCCAGGTTTGCTTGTCTTGGATGGATAGGCCTCCTCAGGGGCCCGGAGGGTCTCCTTGCTTCCAGGCCCCAGTATCTCCCATGTGAAAGGAGACAGGTAGCCTCGCCCCTCACAGGTCTCTGGGAATGAGCAGTGGCAGGATGCAGGGTCTTTTTTTTTTTTTTCCAGTTGTGATTCTCCACACAGCAGCTCATCCACATTTTGTGTCGTAACATTGACTGCAATTCCCCACAGCGTAGCAGCTCTCTTCCCTCTTCCTCCCCATGGTTACCTCTTCCTCTGTCCTTTCCTCTGCATTCCTACCCCTGCACTGTCTCCCTGCCAAACACTGCCCTTCTGTTCTCCGTGACCGACCGTCCAAGGAGTGCCCCTCTGTGTAGGCATTCCTCCCATATGCCTGTCTGGTGCCTGGCTGAAAGTTAAGCCACTCCGGGAGATCAGTTCCAGGCCCGAAGGATGTCTCAGGGCTCGCCAGGCTCTATTAGGTCGGTACGCCTGGTCTTATTATTTATTTATTTTTTAAATGATTTTGAGTTTTGTTCCACATTTTCCTCTCCCTTCATTGAGGCTCCCTTTCTGAGGAGGTCTGTCTGTTTTAACCCCTGGCGGCTCCAGGGGGATGGTCCGTGCCCCTCCCCCATGCATGTGGCTCTTGAGGGCCACGCACAATGCAGGTGGGACTGGCCCACCTTGCAGGCTGTTCGCTCAGGTGGGGGAGCTGGGAGACCACCTCGCCATGTCAGGTGGGTTTGGGGGGCCAGTTCTGCACCTCTGGGCCCTGCAGCCACCACCACCACCACCCCCCGCCACCAGGATCTCACACCCTGGGCAGGTTCTGTTTACATGGCCCCGCACGTGCCCAGGTGCCCACACCCATGGAGTCTGCGATGTCTGGGTTTCCTGACGGTGTCACTGCTTTGGGCGTGAGACCCTGCACTGGGCCCACGATGCTAGCAACGCTCCAGGTGTGCACTGGCCTTGGTGGGGAGGGCCACACTCCCTAAGGAGCGCCGTCCCAGCCACCCTGGGGTTCACAGTCATAACAAGAGTAAGAATTGCTGGACTTTAATGTCCCTTCCTTGGTTCTTTTTCTTCACCGCCGAGGGTCAAGGTCAGCTCGCCCGGCGTATGAACCTGGGATCCTGATCCCAGTGCCCAGCGTTGGGAAGTCTGTCCCAAGGAGCAACAGAGGTGCTCACAGTCAGCGAGTGCAGGCCTGAGAGACCCTCGTGCGGCATCACACAGGCCCGGGAGGCTCGGCACAGCCTTTCCCTGCGACCGTGGGGGCCCCCGGGCGTCCCCCCTTAACGGAAGTCCGGGGCCGTCCCAGGCCCTGCTGCTTGTGACACCAGGCTGTGTGCACACACTGCGGGCCCTTTCCCCTGGCGGCGTTGCCCTGTGGCACCGAGCTCTCTGCAAACAGTGCTATCTCTGCGCCGGCCTGGCCTGGTCCTGTGCGCGCTCCCAGGAGGCGAGCGCCCCTAACGCCTGTGTATTTCCACCTGATGGGTGTGTCCTTGCTCTGTGGCCTCCAGGAACCCTGTGAGTCACTGGCCCGGCCACCAGGCTGTCTCCGCTTCCCACGGGCCCCCACCCCCCACCCCAGGCTGGAACGGGGCTTGGGCAGCTGAGGCAGGAGGTGGGGTCTGGAGGTGGGGTTTGACCTTTGGCTGCCCGTTTATACGTGCCTGGAACTTCTCCGTAGTTTCCCTCCCGAGTCCCAGAGCTGGGAGCGTGCGGTGAGCCCTACACACCCACCCACCCCTGGAGCCTCCGGCGTCCCTGATGACCCTCAGACCCGGGGCACGGCCCCACTTTACAGATGAGCACATAGAGGCCCAGTGAGCAGGCGGCTTGGGGCCTCACAGTGGGTCCTTGTTAGGAGAGCCGAACCTTTTGGGAAATGAGTGGGTGAAGCTGCCTCGGGTGGGGTGGGGGCGTTGGCCGGCAGGGGCGTGGCGGGCCTGAGAGGAGCCACTCCTTGGGGTCCATGCCTGCCTTGGGTGCCCAGGCCCTGCCCCCCGCTCTCCCGTGCCCTGGAAGTTCCCATCGGAATGTGGTCCCCATCTTGGCGAAGCGCCCTGTTCTAGGCGGCAGCATGCTTCTTGGCCATGAGTGGTGGTCTCCTAGCCCCCTGCAGTGGCCGGGCGGGGCCATGTCATGGTCACCTGTAGCCAGAGAGGCCTGCTCACTGCCCAGGAGCCCCAGGGCTTCAGACGGCTTCCGACTGTCTCGCCCACAGGCCTGTCTGATGCCTGCTTGCAGCCTGTGTGTGTCTCCATGAGCACTCTGGGCTGCAGCAGGTGAGGGCTGAGTGCTACCTCCTTGCCCGGTTCGGAAGTACCGGGGCGTGAGAGGGGCCACGAGTCAGGAGACCCCTGAGGACTTGCTGGTCTTTCTGTTCTGGGTGGGGTCCCTGGGGGTCTACAGTGACTGCACTTGGCTGCTAACGCAAAGGCTGGCAGTTCGAGTCTACGCAGGGGCACCTTGGAGACGGGCCTGGAGCTCTGCTCCCTGAAAGTCGACCGTTGCAGACCCAGTGCGGTTGTATGAGACCCACACGGGGTTGCCAGGGGGCAACTAGACAGCCACTGGTGCCTTGTTTTTCTGGGTGGAGCCCAGAGAGGTGGTGCTGCTCAGGTTCCTGGCAGCAGGGAGACCCGTACCTCTCAAGTCCCGTCTGCGGGCATGTCTGGTGGCCTCTTTCTCTGTTGAGGGGCGTGGAGGGCTTAGAGCAGCTGGCCTCCTCTCCCTGGGGCCGGTCCACGTATGTGGACAGAAGGAAGGGCTCCAAAAACCTTAGCACCACGTGACGCCCCTCCGTCACCTGCATCCTCCTCTCCCCTCTGCTGTGGCCACAGTCACAGCCTCTGCCACCAGGACTGTCCGGGGCATGGCACCGCGTGGCAACTCAGCACACTGCCTGACATCAGGGCTCCACCCTTCCCCTCCCCCCAGGCGTCGCTGTCTTCTGGAGGGCAGTGTGGATACCAGGTTGCCAGCTGGGTCCGCATGGGCGTCCCCCCAGGCTGCCATAATCATCACTGCCTTGGTGTTTTTAACCGAATGCCCTGAAATGACCGTGCCTGCCTCTGCCAGGGGCAGTGTGGTCTGAGGCCCAGAAAGGTTCAGGCTCGTCCTTCCTGGGTGGCCCCTGGGGCTCGGTTCAGGAGGAGGGCTCGCACACGAGCTGATGTTCCCGCAGTGCTGGCTCTGTATGGTCTCCGTCAGAGCTTGGGAGTCCGCAGCCCAGAGGAGGCCACTGTGGGGGTCCCTGCTGCCGCTTTACCCAGTGACGACCCGCCTGGGGGCTGAAACCCATCCAGACATGCCTCCTGCGGTGCTGGAGGCCAGCGGTCATTACGTGTCGGTGGCTGCCGCCGTGTGGAGGTACGGGGGAGATCACGTCCCTTCTCTTCCCAGCGTCTAGAGGCCCTACATGCCTTGGCTTGTGGCCCCGTCTTCCATCGCCAGCGCCCGCAGGCCGTGTAGCATGTTTTGTCTCTCCCGGCTCTGTCCTCTGCCTCCGAGTTCACACTGCCTTCTCTGATGCGCTCCTGTCTCCTCCCCGACTCCGGCCACCTGTGTTGGGCTCCTGCCTCCTGACAGGGAAGCGGTGGTGACATTAGGCCACGTAGACCACCCAGCACCATCTCCCCAACTCACGTCCTTACACTGAATCCTCTCTGCCAAGTCCCTTGGGCCACACGAAGCAACACATCCACAGGTTCTGAGGGTTAGGACATGGGCATCTTGGGGGCCACCGTTGAGCAACCACACAAGCCAAGGAGTATGGCAGTCGTCTCTTTGTGGGGAAGACGGGGCCACCCTGAGGGCAGGTACCTTCCACAGCCTCGTACCCCTTCTCCAGCCTCACGTCTTTCCTCCCTGTGTCCTTTCTCCCTGTGGGTCTCGCCCTGTTTTGGGGGCCTCGCCTGACTGGCTGGGAGGGGCTGCTGCTTGTTTGCAGGCTGATGTCTGGCCTGGCCATGGGGTGGGGGCCGGGTTGGCATGTCAGGAGCTGGGGGTAGGGGGACACGGCAGACCTGAGTCTGTAGGCACTTCCTGAATACTCACTGTGCACCAGCCCTGGGCCACGTGGAGCTCAGGGTCTAGGGTGACAGACATACAGAGGGTCCCAGCAATGACAGGGTGCCCCAGGGGGCTCTGCAGAGGTCTGCAGAATGCAGGGCAGGGAGGGGGCGCTCGAGTTGGCTGACCTGGGCTGAGGGAGGGAGAACCAGCAGGAGAGACTGGGGTTCCAGCCGGAGGGGAGCCCAGGTGTTGGGGAGCCTGGCTGTGGGCAGGTCACGGCAGGTCAGGAACAGAGGGCCGTGTTCCTGGGCACAGCATCTGGGCCAGGCCGCCAGGGTTCAGGCCCCAGCTCTTCCTCCTCCTCGCTGGGTGGCTCTGGGCGCCACTCTGAGCCTTAGTTCCAGCACTTGTAAGCCGGGAGCAGAGCTGCGTCACGGGGGCAGGGAGTGCTGGGGACGGCTCAGGTGGACAACAGGCTGCCCCAGGCTGTCAGGTTGGTGACAGGCAGGGCTGAACTTTGGGGCCAGGCATCTACTTTCCCCAACTCCACCCCTCTGCCCACAAGCCCTGTGGTTGCTGTGGTAACGGAAATGAGCCCAGAAGGCGGGAGCCTGGAGGAGCAAGGTCCCCCGCTGCCCCCTGGGGGGAGCCGGGTGCCCCCTCTGCCTCCAAGGATGGTGATGGAGAGTCCCCTATGTGCTGGGGGGGCCAGCTAGCTGCCTCCCTGCGTGGAGGGGGCTCCCCCTCATCCGGGCAGTGGGGGACGCAGACACAGCAAACCCAGACATTTGCTTGTGGAGAAGAGGACGCCAGGCGTCCAGGCGGAGTGGCGGGTGCTGTGGGTGGGCGTCTGCCTTCTGTGGCGTTGCTGTGACAGAAGACCCACAGGTGGGCGGCGTTCGCTGACGGCGTGCGGGACGCCAGAGGCTGGATGCCACCGCCGACTCCCGTGTGGGTTCTCGGGAAGGTCCGTGTCTCAGCTGCTCGGGCCTTGGCCGCGTCCGCTGCCTGGGCAGTCTGCACACGGCATCTAGTCCCCTCGTCTGTGTGTGCACGTGCGTGGGCGTGTACGTGCGCGTGCATGTGTGGGTGTGCACCTGCGTGCTCACCCTGATCTGTTCTTTTTCTATCTTTTTTAAAAGGGGTTAAGGGAGCTCTGGTAGCATAGTATCTAAGGCACTTGACTGCTAACCACAAGGCTGGCGGTTCAAACCCACCAGCCACTCCTCGGAAGGAGGACTGGGCAATCTACTTCCTTAGTGATACCACCTCGGAAACCCAAGGAGGGGTTGGCTGTGAGTCGGTCAGACTCTCGGACTCGATGGCAGTGGGTTTGGTTTTGGTAAAGGGGTTAAGTTTAAGACAGTCACCCTGCTGTGTCCTCATTAACATGACAAAGAAAACCCTGTTCCCAAGTGGGATTCTCCACTAATGGACCTGGACCTGTTAGGGGCCACCCCTCAGGGCGGAGCAGACCATCAGGCCCCCAGAGCTGTAAACATTTACAGGAATAGACTGCCTGGGAGAGGCTGGGGGGTTCCAGCAGGAGCAGCCGGGCCAGGGAGACAGTTAACGCTGTGCCCCCAGGCTCCTCTGACAGGTACGGGGTTAGGATTTACAGACATGTTTTTGGGGCACACTCAGTCCATCGCAGGGGTGTTCCTCCTTTCTTGGCCGCACCGCCGTGCACGCATGGCAGCTGCCACGGGCCAGTCTGTCCCGTCTGGAGAACTGTCCTCCCTACATGGGCGGGGCGTCCCCTCCTCCAGTCACTCCCATCCCAGTTGGCCTGTGGCCCATGCTCCCAGGCACCTTGGGGTCAGGCTCTGTCTCCTTGACTCAACGCTCACCCCTCTCCTGACAAGAATCCCCCACGACCGACTTTCCCAAGAGCCCTTGTGTCAGGTCCTCTCAGGTCCTGTGCAGGATGCAGTCTCTGGGGGAGCAGCTCCGGCCTGAGCCCCAATTCCCAGGTGCCCAGGTGTCCAGCCCGCCCCGGGGGCCCTGGATGTTGGGAGAACTGCGCACCGTGGGGTTTTCAGTGGCTGACTTTTGGAACCAGACTGCCAGGCCTTCCTGCGAGGAGCCTCTGTGTGGACTGGAGTTCCCAGCCTTTCGGTCAGCAGCTGAGCGTGTTAACCGTTCGCGCTGTCCAGGTCTGCTAGACCCAACAAGCAGGAGGGATGTGGCCAAGGGGAATGGAAGGAGGAAGTGTTCAGGGTGGGGGACAGCGCGCATGTGTGCGCGTGTGCACATGCACGTGTGCAGCAAAGGTCGGTGTGCAGTGCCAGTGGGTGACGAGGACGAGACGTGGAGGCTTAGCACTCCCAGGGGATGAACGTGACCGAGGCTTCGTAACGTCCTGTCGTTCATGGTCCCGGGGAGGACCTGACCCTGGTGGCTGGGCCACAGAGGCAGAGACGGCCCATTTTGGTGCTGGGCTGTCCATGGTGTGGGACGCGGGGCCTCCAGAAATAACCTGCTTTTCTTTTTCCTTCTTCCCTCCTTCTTACTGCCCCCCTTTTTTTAATGGTGGGGAAAGTACACACCACACAGCGTACACGGATTGAGCGGTTTGTATGTGAGTCATTGGGTGACACCGCTCCAGCTGTGTGGCCACTCTCACGGTCCCTTTCCGGTTTCCTCCACCACCACTAACGGAACGCACTGCCCACTGGGCAGATAGCTCCTTTCCCTGCCGACCACCAATCAACTTGGGTTCTGTCCCTCTTTTTGTTTTCGTGTGATCCTGCGGTCTCTGTCCTTCTGTGACAGTCCTGCCCAGCACAGTGTTCTCAGGGCTCGTCCACGGGGGACGGGCATCTGGACGTCGTCTCCCTTGGTGGACTTGCCGTCGGCTGATGGACAGGTGGGTGGTTTCCACCGTGCGGGCCTTGTGAGCAGTGCTGCAGCGACGTGGACAGGTGGGTGTCTGTTTGCCCTCCCGCCTTCCCTGCGGCACCCACAGGGATGAGACCTGTGACAGTTCTGTGTTCAGCCGTCTGAGGATGCTCCGAACTGTGGCGCACTTTATACATCCCCACCAGCAAGGGGTGAGGGCTCCCATTTCTCCGCAGCCTTGTCAAAGCTTCTGATGGTTTGATCACTGCCATTTGAATGAGCTC